ATGTTTACAAGTTCTTCTGAAATTTTTTTCCTACTGGTCAATCTGGCGCCTCCTGTATCAAAATTCAAACGCTTAAAGGGTTTGTTCTAAATGTGCAGGCGGTTTCTTATATTAGGACGTTGTATGCTTTTACAAATGAAACTCTTGCAAAACACTCTTATGCAACTTCTCTCCAAGCAACTCTGAGATATGGTATATTGATTAGTCTTGTGCAAGGACTTGGACTTGGATTTACTTATGGGCTTGCTATATGTTCATGTGCTCTGCAACTTTGGGTTGGTCGGTTCTTTGTTATTCATGGAAGGGCGAATGGTGGAGAAATCGTTACAGCCCTTTTTGCTGTTATTTTGAGCGGACTGTAAGTTTCAGATTGTACTTTTCTGCTTGTATCTTTCTTCTAAAAGTATACACATTGTTTTGCTAATTATATTCATGTTATGCTGTGCAGTGGTTTAAATCAAGCTGCTACAAACTTTTATTCATTTGATCAAGGAAGGATTGCGGCATATAGGCTTTTTGAGATGATAAGTCGTTCATCATCTGGGACTAATCAAGAGGGAACTATTTTGTCTGCTGTCGAAGGAAATATTGAGTTTCGGAACGTTTATTTCAGCTATTTGTCACGGCCTGAAATCCCAATCTTGAGTGGATTTTACCTCACTGTGCCTGCTAAGAAAGCTGTTGCACTTGTTGGTAGAAATGGTTCTGGGAAAAGCAGCATTATTCCTCTTATGGAACGATTTTATGATCCTACTCTAGGTATAATGAGTTGTGATTAGGTGTATCGATATTTTTATTCAAATCCGCCTTCGTTACTTGCCTGCGCAGAGACTATTGCTGAGCTGAATAGATACTGTCGTTTTCTCTTAAACAGGAGAAGTTCTACTTGATGGGGAAAATGTTAAAAATCTGAAATTAGAGTGGCTCAGAAGCCAAATAGGCTTGGTCACACAGGAGCCTGCTTTACTTAGCTTGAGCATAAGAGAGAATATTGCATATGGTCGAGATGCTACGCTGGATCAGATAGAGGAGGCAGCTAAAAAAGCTCGTGCTCATACCTTTATAAGCTCACTTGAAAAAGGATATGAAACTCAGGTAAACCATTCACTGTAATATTAGTAGATATGCACTGCAATTTTTCTGTAACTTGAAGTTGGATATGACTTGTTTGTCTTCTAGGTTGGGAAAGCTGGTTTGACGTTGACGGAGGAGCAGAAAATAAAAATATCGATTGCTAGAGCTGTACTCTTAGATCCAAAAATTCTTCTGCTTGATGAGGTCACTGGAGGACTAGACTTTGAAGCTGAAAGAATTGTCCAAGAAGCTCTTGATCTTCTAATGTTAGGACGGTCTACCATAATAATAGCGCGGCGATTAAGTCTGATAAGAAATGCTGACTATATTGCTGTAATGGAAGAGGGTCAGCTACTTGAAATGGGTACACATGATGAATTAATCAACCTTGGCAATTTGTATGCCGAGCTTCTGAAGTGTGAAGAAGCGACAAAGCTACCTAGACGGTATGATTCTCCAGCCTAAGACATATATATCTAACAACTTGTCAAGTCTGTTGTGTAGTTAACGTCATGGTAGAAACATTTTGTCCGACTGCTTTTGGATCCATGTACTGGTGTGGACTTTGACGTTTACTTGTTAATTGAATTTGTATCTTCTTACAGGATGCCAGTTAAGAACTACAACGACCCTACTGCGTTCCAGGCTGAGAGGGATTCTTCAGCTGGTCGTGGCTTCCAAGAACATTCATCACCCAAAATGGCCAAGTCTCCATCTCTTCAGAGAGGTCATAATGTTTTCCGCCCCCAGGATTTGTGCTTTGATAGTGAACAGTCACCCAATGATCATAGCCTTGCTCCAGAGAAAATGGGAGAAAATGGCTCGTCTGTGGATGTAGCTGAAAAGGAACCAACCATTAAAAGACAAGATAGTTTCGAGATACGGTTACCAGAACTACCAAAAATTGACATTCAGCAACGTCAGAAATCAAATGGTTCAGATCCGGAGTCCCCTATATCACCCCTTCTGATATCGGATCCCCAAAATGAGCGCTCCCATTCACAGACATATAGCCGCTCTCATGGCCATTTTGATGGCACTTCAACAAAGGTTAAGGTGCATTCACCTTCATTTTGGAAGTTAGCACAACTTAGTTTTCCAGAGTGGCTATATGCTGTATTGGGGAGTATTGGTGCCGCCATCTTTGGTTCTTTCAATCCTCTTTTAGCTTACGTCATTGCATTGGTAGTGACGGCATACTATAATAGCACGGGAAGCCACCTGCGTGAGGAGGTTGACAAGTGGTGTTTGATCATTGCCGGCATGGGAATAGTGACAGTTGTTGCCAATTTCTTGCAGCATTTCTACTTTGGTATTATGGGGGAGAAAATGACGGAGAGAGTGCGGAGGATGATGTTCTCAGGTACTGCAGTATTTTCCTTTATTTAATTCACTTCACTACCTTTTACAGCTTTCATTTGCCTGAGTTCATATCTTTTCTCTGATGTGCCAGTGATGCTGCGTAATGAAGTTGGATGGTATGATGAGGAAGAGAACAGTCCAGATACGTTATCCATGCGCCTAGCAAGCGATGCCACTTTTGTTCGAGCTGCCTTCAGCAACAGGCTTTCGATACTTATTCAGGATAGTTTTGCTGTTATCGTTGCCATTCTTATTGGGTTGCTGCTCGGTTGGCGTTTGGCCCTTGTTGCATTGGCAACTTTGCCGATACTAACTCTCTCCGCCATTGCTCAGGTTTGTCATGCATTTTGCTTAGAAGTATCTGTCTATTATCCTGACACTGGTTTCTAATATAACCCTCAAATTCCAGAAACTTTGGCTTGCTGGATTCTCAAAGGGCATCCAGGAAATGCATAGAAAGGCGTCTTTAGTACTCGAGGATGCTGTCAGAAACATATACACTGTCGTCGCTTTCTGTGCCGGTAACAAGGTGATGGAACTCTATAGACTGCAACTTCAACGGATACTCAGGCAGAGCTTTCTTCATGGGATGGCTATTGGCTTAGCGTTTGGTTTCTCACAGTTTCTCCTCTTTGCCTGCAATGCTCTCCTCCTCTGGTTCACTGCATTTTCAGTAAAGCGTGGATATATGAAATTGTCAACAGCTCTAACCGAGTACATGGTTTTCTCCTTTGCTACATTTGCCCTTGTCGAGCCATTCGGATTAGCACCTTACATTCTTAAGCGCCGTAGATCTCTCGCTTCAGTATTTGAAATCATAGATCGTGTGCCTACAATCGAACCTGATGACACCTCTGCTCTTAGTCCGCCTAACGTCTATGGAAGTATTGAACTGAAAAACATCGACTTCTGCTACCCTACTCGTCCGAAGGTGTTGGTACTAAGCAACTTCAGTCTCAAAGTCAGTGGGGGACAAACATTAGCTGTGGTTGGTGTTTCTGGTTCTGGTAAAAGCACAATCATATCATTGATCGAGAGATACTACGATCCAGTGGCTGGTCAGGTCTTATTAGACGGTCGAGACTTGAAGTCATATAACTTGAAATGGCTAAGAAGCCACATGGGTCTGATTCAACAGGAGCCAATAATCTTTTCCACGACGATCAGAGAAAACATCATATACGCTAGGCATAACGCGAGTGAAGCTGAGGTGAAGGAAGCAGCAAGAATTGCAAATGCTCACCATTTCATCAGCAGCTTAGCCCACGGTTACGACACGCATATCGGTATGAGAGGTGTTGAACTTACACAAGGACAGAAACAGAGAATCGCTATAGCTCGTGTAGTGCTGAAGAATGCTCCAATACTGTTGATTGATGAAGCGAGTTCGTCTATTGAATCTGAGTCAAGCCGTGTGGTGCAGGAAGCTCTCGATACGTTGATAATGGGGAACAAAACCACGGTTCTGATAGCGCATAGAGCGGCGATGATGAGACATGTGGACAACATTGTGGTTCTCAATGGAGGCAAAATAGTTGAACAAGGCACGCATGATGCCTTATCGAGTAAGAACGGGTTATATGTGCGTTTAATGCAACCACATTTTGGCAAAGGTCTACGCCAACATCGACTCATCTAGAGAGAGATTGAACTCTTTCCACCTCATCAACGATTAGCTCTGTCACATAACAAACATCAGGTGATGCCAAGGGATAATGTTATTGGATGCGATGACAGGACATAACTTGCAATCTGATCAAGGCTTTGACACTAAAAGAGTAGAAGTTGTACAACCACGGTTAGTTTCTGTAAGCAAAGTAGGAGCTTGTAGACGTAGATTCTCTTATTCTTTCAGGAGACGAAGCAATGAAGAAGTAGGACTGTATTTATTCATTTGCTTGGTCTCTAAGGTATATCATTTTTGTTTATTGAAACTGAAGATTAGAGAGGCAATATATTTGCTGAGGTTTGTTTTTGTTAGGGCTGTGAGTGATTTAGATGGAGAATGTGTAATGGTTAGGCGTCTGGCTTGTAAATACATCGTATCCACTTTATTTGGCACTTCTTTTTTGATTGAAATCTCATCTATTATAAAACCAATCATCATTGGAGTTTAATAGTAACCAAACCAAAGCTTATTCATTTAAGTTTCATCTTTACCCTTTAGTCGATCCACAAAAGCCGAGTAGCTTTTTGGTTTCTCTGCTGAAACATTATAAGACCAAACTAAGCTATGCTTTTAGTCGCAAATGAAAGAAGAAGAGAGAAAATACAAGTTGTTCTTGGCAGGTTTACCTTCAGCAAGAAGCAAAGTTGCCAATAAAGTTCCTTGGCCCACAAAAGCCGAGTAGCCTTTTGGTATCCAATTGCTTCCGCATCCTTTTTTCTGTAAGCCATTCAAGTGTTTATAGCCTATCATCCATCATCACAGGCCAATGAAATATTGATATCAGAAAATTAAGCAGAGAAGTGTTATTATAAACCTTGTGGGAGATTGTTGGTGAGACACGGTAGCAGATCGGAGAGTGAAGAGACAAAGAGACTGCCATTATGGCTACAACGTGCAAGACTTTAGTTATGTGTTGACAGATACATTCAAAAGATCGTCCACAAGACGGAATAGTTTTCATCTGTATAAATTTGCATTTTAGAAGTTTTCAAGAGTGTTTTGTGGTAAGATTGTCTAGAAGCAAATTCCAAAAACAGAGAGAACTTTAATTCAATAATTAACTGCAACAAATGTATCAAAAAAACCGAGAAACAAAACCACAAGTCTGTTTTTTTTTATAATTGCAGAGATAGATAAAAACTTAGATGATGCCAATCTTGTTAGCAACATCCAAAGCATCATAATCCGGTGTAAGCCTAACGTAAGCCTTCTTCGTTCCATCAGGCCTGATGAGGGTGTTGACCTTCTTGGTCTGAATGTCATACATCTTCTTAACAGCATCCTTGATCTTCTTCTTGTCAGCACGAATGTCAACAATAAAGACAAGTGTGTTGTTGTCTTCAATCTTCTTCATGGCAGACTCAGTAGTGAGTGGGTACTTGAGGATACCGTAATGGTCCAACTTGTTCCTTGGAGTAGCACTGATTCTTGGGTACTTGGGATCTCTAGCCTTGGTCAAAGTCTTTGGCCTGTGGAAGGTAACCTTTGTCCTAATCTTCTTGTCCTTCTTCTTGAAAGCTTGCCCAGACTTCACTGCCTTTGCTGCTTTCAAGGCCTTGGCTTTTGGGTCAGCCTTCTTCGTGGTATCAACTACATAATAAATAAACAGCACAAGAGAGCTTTAAACAACTTTGACAACATAACTTAAAAGATAATTGTACTTTACTATTACAGAACATTAAGACAAGGCTAGTTATTAGTGTTTGCGTTGTTTAATTAACACAAGATTTTGTAAGAGACCCAAGTGAATATTCAACGAAACGAACATATGTAACATGATTATCAACGTAAAGATCGAACCTTTAGCTGGAGACATTTCTCTGTACGATCCTTTCCCACTTCAAAATCTGTTAGAAATCATGAAAATGAAATGTAAGAGAGATGAAAGAACGAAGCTTTGACGTAATGAAGCAGTGAAGAAGGGGAAGACGAACGAACCTGGTGAGGTGAAGCAGCTGAAACCCTAGATCACTTCTGCAGCGGCAGAGACTTTTATTAGTGGAAGTGAAGAGGGTGATGGTGATAAAGAGAGGCGAAACCCTAGATAGCTTGGGCCTTTAATATTATAATGGGCTATAATACAGAGCCTAGATAAAAAGACGCCCAAATCAAGCCCACTATGTTAAAGAACCCAAATTTCATTTTGTAGAAGAACTTAGAATTAGTATATTTTAATTTTATTTTCGATATATATAGTTTTCTCATATTTTATTTTGAAATTTAAGTTTATGTTTTTTTAACATAATTTAAATTTATGTTAGCAACATTTCAATCGCAAATTTGTAACTCTTGTCAACACAAAGAGAAGATTCTTTTAGTCATGCTTCATGCATTATATATCCCAAAAAGAAAAGAAATTTAGTGACTACAGTGATCCAAAACAATCAAGAATTTGATTATAATAATTATATAATATATATATATATATATATTTGAAGTTTTAATAAGATATAGTTGCAATTAATATCTACTAATCTTAAATTCTTAATGACTGGTGCCTAAAATTCAAAGCGGAGATATTCGTCTGTTTTAGTATAATATTTGTTTTATTTGCCAAAAAAATAATAATATTTATTTCTAATATGTTGCTTTTATGTGTTCTCCAAATCTGTCATCTTATGTCATATCTTAACATACTAGTACCATACTAACTATGTGAGTTAATGGTTCTATTATTCAGTTTCCTTCTATATTAAAAGACAATAATCTATACTATCACTTTTTATAAAATAAGTAAAATATGTGTCCAATATAATGTCATTATTAAGTCCTTAAATCAAATATGTAGATTTTGAACATAAACTAATGCCGGCCAGCTTTTAATTGTGGTAAGATAACATCTTATACAATAAAAGGGAGTTTTCTCCCTTCTTGAGAGGCCACCTCAGCTTTTATGATGGGGGCAAAAAATGACATGTCAGCACTTCTCAATCTGCAACTTTTTTGTAAAGAAATTTATATGGGCAAATTGTTTTATTTGGTTGGGCCCATCGTTATTACATAAACTCGGCCCGGCCTGACATTTTCTTAGGGTTTTCTAAGCTTCTTCATCTTTGTTGTTCATCGTTGGTAACGATTCGTTACTCAATCTTTGATGTTTCTGAAAACGTTTGTCCTTCCCTTTAACTCAACCATTAATCCAATCTATACCCACCTCTCCTCCCACTCAGTCTCATTTTCTCTGTAACGCTCTCAAATCTTTCACCGACCACCGGTTAAGAAAGGCCATCATCGAGAAACTTACATAAAGCTTTCAATTTTCAAATCTTTGTCTGTTTGGGCTTCAATTCTAATTTTGTTCTCTCTTATATGTCTATTAGGATGTTGATTGAGGATATTGATGAGTACAATGATGATGACCTTTTTCCATGGATCCAGTGTTCTTGCTTTTGGCTTTTTGAAAGATTGAAACTTTAATCGAGATATAGATTTTTAAACCTGAACCTTTTTCAGGTATATAAAATGGGTACAAGAGGCGTTTCCACCAGGAGGAGAGTGTTCGCTGTTAGTGATATACAAGCAATGCGTTCGCAAGTTTGGCACTCGGAACGGTACAAGAATGATCTTCGTATCTCAAAGTTTGGTTGGAATATGTAATGTTTTCTCTTTTTAGCTTCTTCAGTTGATTTTATTGTATTGTACTAAATGGTTAGATTTTATTGTATTGTACTAAATGGAAGTGATAATCTTTTGAAGGCGGAGCATTGTGCTGATGCAAAAGTGATTAGCTTATACTTTGCACAAGGAGTTGAGATCTTCAATCTCGGAATCTCTAGGTACATTTTCTTCATCTTGGTTTTTTTTTTTTGGCCACATGGTTGACTGAAAAGTGTGAAACGTTGATCAGGACCGCAAAGCCTGTGAACAAGTTGAATGATACTTACAAGAAGTTTATGGTCAGAACTATGACAAGAACCAAAACAGCTGATCAAGTAAGATGTTTTTTGAGTTTGTGAAACTGTATGTATATTTCTTTATGTCTTATGTATTTTCTTTCTGAGTATTTTACATATTACTTAATGTTTCCACCTACCAGCATGAACCAAAGAAGAATAATGACTTACCGTCAAGAAGCTTTGGAACTGTATTGTCTAGAGGAGATAATAGTAGTGAGTGTCGCATTAACTTTTACCTTTGGAGATCACTGAAAGGTTTTGATAAGATCTCTTACATAAAAATGTTTTCTATAAACGCAGAAAATCAAGCATTAGGACCACAAGCCAAAAACCCAAGGCGGAATCAGTAAGTGATTCCTTATTTTTTCACCTTTAAACATAGTGTATACAACTTAACCAGAACTCTAACTTATTGTGCAACTCATTATGATCTGGTGCAGCTAATCAAGACAGCTTTATCTATCTACACAGACACTACATCGGAGAATCAACAAGAAGAGTCAGATAAGTCAAACCAGAGTATGGTTCTTGGCTGATGCTTGGAGCCAGAGCAGAGAGAGTAACAAAGTAAACAATTCATTACCTGGAAAATGGAAAATTTTCAAGGTTTTTGACTATTCTTTATCCTCCAAAAACAAAAACTAACTTATCTTTACAAATAGATGATTTTCTGCAGTTATATATGCATGAAGACTACTGTTTCAAACTAAAAGGTTACACTCATGGTGGTGAGTTTATTTATGTACCTTATTATGAGTTCCGTGTATCATCTGATATTATATTCTATGATCCGGTGAGAAACAGTTGTAGAAGACTCAAGTTTGAAGGAATCGTGGACAAAGAATTTGGGTCCAATATGCATGTTTCTCCGAATCACATTGAAAGTCTTGTGTCTTTGTAACAATTTGTTGTTACTCTTTTATATTTGTCTCCTTTGTAAAACATTTAATAAAGCATGAGTTGCAACATTACAAACTGCTTGTCAGATAAAATAGCATCAGATACATTAGTTCTTCTTTTTTTTTTTATTGTCAAATGGTCTTTTTTCTACCAAAGCACTCTTTCTTCCGACACTAACCAATGGATCATTTCTTCCGACACTAACCAATGGATCATCACGGTATTCCCTCCAAGAAAAGGAATGGTTGAGTTTGGAACGTTTCAAACAAGTGGTGTTTCGGTTATTGTTCACACTCTCTCGTCTACTTCACTCTTGTTTGTAATTTTGTATTCTCTTGCTCGCTTTCCACATTCACGTTTACATTGCCTAGGGGTAGACACAGATCGATGACAATGAGATTGAGAAGTAAGCATATATGCATGAAGAGTGACTTATGTAGCTAAAAATGTTTACTTAAAATAACTGTAGAGAAACAGTTTTGCTGCGACAGAACCCTTCAAAACATTTCCAAATTCAATTCAATTTTCAATTGGCCAGTTGACCCCCAAGGGTAAACGGTTTTACTTATTTAATAGTTGTATTCAGAAAAAAGAAGTTTAAATAACTTATACTTAGTATGTGTTGTATATGCCGAATGAAAAATCAGAAACAAAACAATGAGCACATGAAAACTATCAACTACTAATACTATAGAGTATTGACACAACAAATATCAACTCAACCAAATACAATACAAAAAAAAAAAAAGAAAACGCAGAACTACACAGAAACGGAAACCATACCAAGTTTGTGATATTGTCTTTTTAGTTTCATCAAGTTTAAAAAGTTTAAAAGAAAATGACTGAAAACCACAACCATTATTTAATTAATATCAAAACAAAGATTTCAGAAAAGAAAAGTTAAGAAAACAAAAAAATATATAATTGATAAAACAATAAACATAAAAACAAAAGAAATATATATATATATATATATATATATATATATATATATATATATTTACTATACTTTAAACCAATGTACTGTTCCCATAAGAAAATCAAGCATAATTTTAATATTTATATAAAAATAAAATAGTATATATTTGTAAAGTCTAAACAAAAGAAACACAATATAAAACAATTTGACAAGAAATACATAAGAACAAGAAGTTTAGTTGTGTGTCAGAATAATTACATCTATCAATTTCAGTGTTGTACCAAATTTACTTGATTTTGAGTTGTAAGCTTATCAAACAATATCATTTCAGAAAGATTAAATAATATATTATATTTAAATATTAAAACAAAAATAAATAAAATTATCAATACTTAACGCAATGTTTTGGAGACCACCGTTACAAATGAAAAACTACATAATGTCATAATCAGTTGATCATTTTAATGACACGCCCCTTAAGTAATTAAATTACTTATTCCCAGAGTTATAAAACAAATTAGTCCAAGTCTACAACTATCTCTTTTTCCACCTAATTGCATCGAAATGCGTGTAAATCAGCAACTATCAAACTTCAAAAATNAGCCAATATAAGATATTATCTCTACTTCAACTATTTGTATACATCTACTATATCAAACAAGAAAACATTTAGTATTATGCACATTACCACCATACATTGAAATAATTTCATAGTCTCTCTTCTATAAAATTAGTTGCTCCAACTATTCACAGTTAACTAATAAACAAGAAGTACGTGAGCACATAAAGTAATTATCAGAATACATGTTTTATTATACAATGAATCTAATAACAAACGTTATTTGTTAAATAACACAAATGGCAAACATTCCGCGCGTAGCGCGGACAAACCACTAGTATTATATATTTTTCTATATGCATTGGATTCAAAGATATTGTTATTTTAACAATTAAGATATGTTTTCTTGACTAGAGAATAAAGTGGCGGACGTAATTTTCTTTGCATGAATAATTGTGGCGGCCCCATGCAAATATTATTGGACGGTTTATAAAAAACAAATAATAATAATTAAATTGTTCTTGCGATGAAACTGACCCATCTTTGACGTCGATTCCGTTTCGTGTCTTCTCTTCTCTTCAAAACAAAAATTTGAAAGAGTGATTGTGACCCAAAAGAGAGAGAGAAACGTTTATCATCTTTAATCAATCAAATCTTGTTGACCTATCTCTCTTTTATTCAAATTCATCTGCTCTGTTTTTCGTTTAGAAAAAGTCAGAGAATCCACCAATTGTGTAAATCCTTCTCTCAAAGTTTCTTTTCTCAGATGGGATCTGCAACCAATCTTTAAAGATCTTTACTTCCATTAAAAGAGGTTAGATTTGCTTTCCAGGTTTAATCTCTGTCTCTGTTTGTTGAGTTTCCTTTTATAGATTTGTCTCTTTCTACAAAAAGAAATCGTCTTTCTTTATCGTCACCTCATTTCATTTTCTGGGTATGTGTTGATTTCTTGAAAAGAGTTGCAGGTCGTTGAAAGAGATGGAGTCTAAGGAGATTAGATCCTCTGTTTTTGCCAAAACGCTGCGTTTCAATGGGATGTCTCAACCTCTGCATCACTTAAAGTCAAGAACCTTTGAGAGGCACAAAACAAAGTCGGATTCTGGTTTTAAGGTGATTCCAACGAAGGAGCTTTGTCATGTTTATCTACACAAAACAGAGTTGCTAGCGTCCAAGGGTATCATTGATGCACAAGCTAAGCCTCCTCACTTTCAGAAACATCGTGAGACGGCAAAGAAGAGGACATTTGGTAGGAGATTTGATCAACAAAACTTGAACTTGAAGTCAAAGTTGAGACATTACACAAAAGTTGAGAAGAAAGAGAGTTCTCCAAGACGTTTCTCTCCTCTAGGTTTTGGTAGTGACTCTCAGTTGCGAGATAGGGGGAAGAAAGGGCAATACATTATCACCCCTGAGAAGAAGATTATTGTATTTTACTATTACAGAACATTAAGACAAGACTAGTTATTAGTGTTTGCGTTGTTTAACACAAGTTTTTGTAAGAGACCCAAGTGAATATTCAACGAAACGAACATATGTAACATGATTATCAACGTAAAGATCGTACCTTTAGCTGGAGACATTTCTCTGTACGATCCTTTCCGACTTCAAAATCTGTTAGAAATCATGAAAATGAAATGTAAGAGAGATGAAGAACGAAGCTTTGACGTAATGAAGCAGTGAAGAAGGGGAAGACGAACGAACCTGGTGAGGTGAAGCAGCTGAAACCCTAGATCACTTCTGCAGCGGCAGAGACTTTTATTAGTGGAAGTGAAGAGGGTGATGGTGATAAAGAGAGGCGAAACCCTAGATGGCTTGGGCCTTTAATATTATAATGGGCTATAATACAGAGCCTAGATAAAAAGACGCCCAAATCAAGCCCACTATGTTAAAGAACCCAAATTTCATTTTGTAGAAGAACTTAGAATTAGTATATTTTAATTTTATTTTCGATATATATAGTTTTCTCATATTTTATTTTATTTTGAAATTTTAAGTTTATGTTTTTTTAACATAATTTAAATTTATGTTAGCAACATTTCAATCGCAAATTTTAACTCTTGTCAACACAAAGAGGAGATTCTTTTAGTCATGCTTCATGCATTATATATCCCAAAAAGAAAAGAAATTTAGTGACTATAGTGATCCAAAACAATCAAGAATTTAATTATAATAATTATAATATATATATATATATATTTGAAGTTTTAATAAGATATAGTTGCAATTAATATCTACTAATCTTAAATTCTTAATGACTGGTGCCTAAAATTCAAAGCGGAGATATTCGTCTGTTTTAGTATAATATTTGTTTTATTTGCCAAAAAAGTAATAATATTTATTTCTAATATGTTGCTTTTATGTGTTCTCCAAATCTGTCATCTTATGTCATATCTTAACATACTACCATACTAACTATGTGAGTTAATGGTTCTATTATTCAGTTTCCTTCCAGATTAAAAGACAATAATCTATACTATCACTTTTTATAAAATAAGTAAAATATTTGTCCAATATAATTGTCATTATTAAGTCATTAAATCAAATATGTAGATTTGAACATAAACAAATGCCGGCAAGCTTTTAATTGTGGTAAGATAACATATTATATATTTTTCTATATGCATTGGATTCAAAGATATTGTTATTTTAACAATTAAAATATGTTTTCTTGACTAGAGAATAAAGTGGCGGACGTAATTTTCTTTGCATGAATAATTGTGGCGGCCCCATGCAAATATTATTGGACGGTTTATAAAAAACAAACATAATTATTAAATTGTTCTTGTAATGAAACTGACCCATCTTTGACGTCGATTCCGTTTCGTGTCTTCTCTTCTCTTCAAAACAAAAATTTGAAAGAGTGATTGTGACCCATTAGAGAGAGAAACGTTATCATCTTTAATCAATCAAATCTTGTTGACCTATCTCTCTTTATTCAAATTCATCTGCTCTGTTTTCATTTACAAAAAAGTCAGAGAACCCACCAATTGTGTAATCCTTCTCTCAAAGTTTCTTTTCGCAGATGGGATCTGCAACCAATCTTTAAAGATCTTTACTTCCATTAAAAGAGGTTAGATTTGCTTTCCAGATTTAATCTCTGTCTCTGTTTGTTGAGTTTCCTTTTATAGATTTGTCTCTTTCTACAAAAAAAAGAAATCGTCTTTCGTTATCGTCACTTAATTTCATTTTCTGGGTATGTGTTGATTTCTTGAAAAGAGTTCCAGGTCGTTGAAAGAGATGGAGTCTAAGGAGATTAGATCCTCTGTTTTTGCCAAAACGCTGCGTTTCAATGGGATGTCTCAACCTCTGCGTCAAGAAAAGTCGAGAGCTTTTGAGAGACAAAGCCGACAGAAAGGGTTTATCAAGAAGACTGATTCTGGTTTCAAGGTGATTCCAACGAAGGAGCTTTGTCATGTTTATCTACACAAAACAGAGTTGTTAGCGTCCAAGGGTGTCATTGAGGAGCAAGCTAAGCCTCCTCACTTTCAGAAACATGGTGAGATGGCAAAGAAGAGGTCATTTGGTAGGAGATTTGATCAACAAAACTTGAACTTGAAGTCAAAGTTGAGACATTACACAAAAGTTGAGAAGAAAGAGAGTTCTCCAAGACGTTTCTCTCCTCTTGGTTTTGGTAGCGACTCTCAGTTGCGAGATAGTGGAAGGAAAGGGCAATACATTATCACCCCTGAGAAGAAGAAATCAAATGAAATAAGTAAACTGTGTAATAGCACTACTACATTGGTTCAGAAGAAAGATGGAGCTGTGAGAGAAGCTGGTTCTAAGTTGATTGTTAGTACCTCTAGGGACTCAGTGTTGAGTTTGGAACGAAACAGATTTGCACAAGATGTCAAGTTCAGACATGTATCTTCTTCTTCTGCTTCTTCTTCTTCAGGTTTTGTCAGCAAGGTAACTTCAATGGACTCAATTACAGTTTCTTGTGATGATTGTGTGATATACTAAAGATTCTCTGAGAGCATAGTTTGACTGTTGTGTGATATAACTCTATAAGATTGTGAACTCTTGATTGAAACTGCAGGATGAAAGTGAGGATTCATCAGACTGCTCCGCTGCTTCTCCTGGATGTCAGACGGAAGAAGCTCATCAACCTAGTCCTGTTTCTGTCCTGGAGCCAATGTTTGACGACGATGTGTTAGAGGATGACAGTGAAGAACTTCCTTATCTAGATCTTCATGGTAAGTAACAACTTAGCTTCTGTGTATTCTTTTTGGCTGGTATTGTGTAAACTGTAACTAAAACCTTTTAATGGTACAAGGTATAGAGAAACAGCTTGACTTCCTGAAATCTGAGTCTGATAGTTATTCAGAAGGGAATGGGATGGAAGTATCAAGCGATGAGGAGTCTGAGATTGCTTCTGAAACCGAAGAAAGCAAGGAGAGTGAACCAATCAGGCTCTTGGATAGCAAAGAGACTATAGAGTCTTCTTACATTGATGATATCTTGTCTGAAGTTTCACTTATGGACATTCCTGAGAAACTGGATTCAGTTCTTACCTTCAAGGTCTTCGAGAAGATGGAGAAAAAGTATAACACTGAGACATCTTGGAAGAGGTCTGAAAGAAGGATTTTGTTTGACAGAGTCAATTCAATTCTGGTAGAGATTCTGGAATCTTTTACAGCTACACCAACCTGGAAGAAACCTATCTCTAGGAGGCTTGGCGTTGGGCTAAGCACATGTGGACTGAAACAAGAACTCTGTAAAGTACTTGCCAGGCAAGAGAAGCGAGCTAAGAAAGTATCATCCAACAAAGTGCCAGTAATAGATCTTGATGAGTGGTTCAAACTTGAAGATGATGATGATATGTCAGTGGTCTGTGAATTAGAAAGTATGATAGTGGATGAGTTGTTGTTTGAGGTCTTCATGTAGAGTTACAAAGTGATTCTTTTCATTCTTTTTTTCCACTGTATTTTGATTGAGAATAGTTAGTGAGTAGTTGTTGCATCATCAAAGGGAGATGTACAACGTTTAAGAAAGTTGTGCATACACATTGTTTTTGTTGTCAGGTCTAGGATTGGCCTCTTAGCATGTCTCAGTCACATTGCTATAAAAGCTTATGTGACTTTGTACCCATTTGTTAAAGTGTGAATGAAACAAGATTTTGATTGAAAGAGTTTCATTTAATACAAGAAAAGGATAAAAAGACAGAAACAGAACATATACAAAAGCAATCATATATCTTGTTTAACTCTCAAGCTTTGTAGGTGAGGTAAACACTGAAATGGAGGATGGTGTCTTGACCATCAGTGATATGCTGATTGTTCTGGTTATGCAGAGTTTCCACAATAGCATACCCTTTAGCATGCTCAAACTTCCCTGTCCCACCAATAACAGCAATCTGAGAGGCATGAGAAGCAGTTCTATGAACTCCAAAGAAGCTAATAGCATCATCCAAAGTGTCATGGTGATCATGCTCTCTGTCTAGCAACACAGTCAGAGAAAGAGTCTGGCTAGTCCCATCCAAGGAACTAGCCAGGTAAAACCCTTGAGCCTTCCCTATAACCGCTGACCCGAGCTCGTGGCTCTCGGTCAGCTCATCGTCTACAACTGTTATGGTTCCAAACATTAGATGCTGGAGTGCAGCACCTGGAGGGAGGTTACCTGCGGTTACAAAAGGGAGGTTGTTGGAGCTGAGGGCGTCGTTGGAGTTACCGTTAGTGTTTTGAATCACTGTGCTGGTTTGAGCGCCGCCAAGGCCGGTTAGAAGTGGAGCTGTGTTTGGGTTAATGACACTGTTGATGTTGTTTGAGTTGACCAGTGGGACTCCGTTGTCTACAGGGAAGATGCTGTTGCTTGCCTTTGAGAATGGTATACCGTTTACTTCGGTTTGTGCCACTATTCCTGTGACTACACGAGCTGATGGGTGTGAACCGCCTAGGACGTCGTGCATAAAGAACTCTAGTGATGGCTCGTGTTCAGCCCCTGTTGGATTAGCTGGGAGTGTAGTTGCTGGTGCAGGTTCTTCTTCAGCTTCTGTTGGAGCCACGTTGGGGATTTGGCCTGTGGGGAGTAACTGAGACTGAGGTTGGATCTCATCAAGAAGTCTAGCGGAGTTGATGGATGCTAGGAGATTGGAGGCTATGAGGAAGAGAATGATAGTTATGTGAAGAGCTTTGGCCATTTTTAGTATTTAATTTAGATTATAGAGTTGCTTTTGTGTTTGTGTTGATGTTTACTGAAGGATGGATCAATGGGTTTATATAAAGAAGCATTGGAGTATTTGGTATGTGTGAGTGGAGCGGTTGTTGCTGTTTATGTGTTTTAGTTGAGTTTGAGAGTCAACTAAACCTTTATATTAGTATTTGAATTAGCTAATATTTTTACTTAATAATGTACTTTTATTTTATTTTTGCCAACTAATTTTTGTATCATTACTGTAAATTGTAAGTAATTGCATACCCGCTTATCACCATTGATATATGAAACATCATAATTGCACTTAGACCAACTTTTGTGGGTGTTTACATGTTAGAGCCATGTTGTGTTGTCACCTTATTGTGTTGCTTCCTTAATCCTTAGACCATCTGCAACGCAGAATCTTAACAAAAAATCTTTAACATTAAATTGTTATAATAATCTGTGGGACCCCTTAAAATTTAAGTATCTGTGCCAAATTTATCTCTTGTGATCCGTAGTTAAGGATCAACTTTAGGAGAAGTTCGTTACTGTGTATGGCTCTCATCACGACGTGGAAACCTCTGATTAGCTATTTTTTTTCTTTTTTTTTTAAACTGAATGAAAAATAAAAATAATCAAAAAATAATCTAAAAAATTTACCTAGGTTATTGCGACGAGAGTATCAGCGTTGCTGATGCTCTTAATCAACTATTGTTGCATTCATCCACTCTCTGATATCTTTTTGTAGCTCTCGTAACAACAACTTTATGTAACAAGTCAACTTATGTAAATTATTAGTCACCTTTTGATCTATAATTATTTGCTTTTTGTATCACATTAATGAATGCATAGTACCATATATATAATTATCTTTTACTTCTTTCAGATCTCGCAATTTTGGGAAGAGCAGTTGCGACGGGTAACAAGAATTAGCCTATTCTACATTCGCAATATTCTAATCATCATTAGATAACCATATCCCATAACTGTAAATTAAAGTTACAAATATCATTTTACAACAATAAAACACTGAGCAAGAAAAGAAAAAACAGAGATAAAACACACAGAAGTTGTCTATATAGTTTATTCGTCTGTGATATTGATAATGAACAACACTACCTACTCTTTCACTTGGAACGCATCATTTTCACGTTTAAGCTCCGATTCTAACCCTCCGGCTCCATCAGAAGCTTTCTTATCTAACCAACCAATGATGTCAGCAAAAACAATCTCAATGTTCTCTGGTGTCTCACCATAGAGTAAACCATGCCACATCCCAGGGTACAACTTGAAAGTCTTGTCCGAACTCGACGCAACCTCATAAAGTTCTCTACTCACTGCTTTGTCTGTGACTTTGTCATCTTCTCCATGCAACACCATGAACGGTAATGAAACCTATAACCATTACATATGCTCAAACTTCTCAAATAAAAGTTTTAATGCGGTTTTCCAAAATTTAAAAAAATCATTAATATAATATTTAATGAAGTTTGTGTTTAAACTTTTTATAAAAATATTAATATAAATGTTTAGTGATAGATTCTATTGAAAAGTTATCATTGCTATATACCTCATTAAGTCTCTTCTCAAGATCGGTGCTAACCCTCAAGAGCTCATAAGCTGTTTTCAAACGTGGGCGTCCTTTGTAGCAGTAAGGGTTTTCTCTAACCTTCAATCATTTCACATTATTAATTAGCTATATACGTTCATTATAATAAGTCACTACTATCTGCTTAACGAACCTGCTTCCTGATTTCGGGCTGTTTAAAAGCAGTGTCAATAATATCTTGGCCAGGGATAATTTTCCACGTGGGTATAACTCCGCTTAGTTTTGTCAATACAGAAATAACCAAACGGTTTGGTTTCATTTCGTCAGCAATCTGTGACATATACAATAAACAAACGAAGATTAGTGGATACTATCTATTAGTAATATTCTACTCCAACCACTTTAATGATTTGCCTATGCAAATCAAATCGTAATATATACCTTCCACATGAATGCATAGCTGGTACATCAATTGCAACTTACTAGTACACATTAGAAATTAGTTTATTTGCATGATTACTTCAGAAACTTAGTGGATGGGGGGGTTTTAATAATTAACAAGATATTTGACTAAGCTTCATATACATTTTAAAATATTTTCCCTAATTATAGTATATATACATGCTTTCAGAGATTGTATTTCACACCGTTATCTAGCTAACGAGTATGTGATTAAAACCAACTAGTAGCATCTTTTTTTGCTTTTCTTTTTTGAAAATTTTTTTTAGCATCTTTCACATCATCATGCCCCATTTAAAAACTGACAACCAAGATTTTGGCATTTGCGTATATGTTCATTCCTATTGGATGTGATGGACAAAATATTGCCCACACCACAGTAATAAAATGTTTTGTCAAAATATCCTCTTAAAAATACAAATAAGGCTGGCTAGTACTTTTATGTGTATATTATTTCAAAGTAAAAGACGAAAATAACACTTCATAATATATTCCTTTTCATCATTTCTTTATATATTTACCAAAATTCTATGATATATCAAATATACCCATTGTGGCTTTCTATTTTTTTTTTTTTTCTGGTTCCTTCAGAAATGTGAACTTCTTGTCAAGTACTAAAAGAGATAGAATGAATGTTACCTTACACATTGGAGCAACCAAGACGGCCCCATCCCAAAACTCAGGCTTTTTCCTGTGTAACAACAACAGCACTGCCCCACCCATTGATTCCCCTAGCAAGAACCTCATCTTCCCTTTATTCTCTTCTCTCTCTAATCATTCCCAACCAACACAAAAAGAAAAAAAAAATCAAAATCAGTTTCTGACAAACTGATACGACATAAAGTTACGTGTGAATTCTTTCTTTCACAAAATAATTATTACGTAATTAATTCACATTTTTGTATCTACATTACACAAAAAACACGTGAATGGTAAATAAAGAGTGGCTTTGACCGTGGATTCAGATAAGCATTCCAAAGTCAATATTACACATTTTAACCCTACAAAAGTCTAACATTACCGCAAATCGATGTGTAGTGGGCAGAAACGTCATCAACGAGATGGTCAAAGTTTGGAACATAAGCGCCAAGCCCATCAGACTTGCCATGTCCTTCATAATCCATCCCATACACTCCAAACCCTGCCTTCACAAGCCTCCTCGCAGTACCTAATCCAATCATATCCATCACAAAACATTATTAAAGCTTTTATATAATTAAATGAATAAATATACATAGAAAATCATGAAGTTGGCTGATCTCAACTGTTCATGGTGATGCTGCATTCCATTGCATATCCATGGCAGATGAAGATTAAAGCCTTTGGTTCTTGATTTGCTGGTAACCACTTGCACGTGAATAGCTTCATTCCTCGAGGGTTCTTGATGAAACTCTGCATATTATAATCATCACTCAAAACCAAGATTCCTCTCCATCTATAACAAGTTCATTTATTATTTACTAGAATAACACATACCTCTTCATACTTGATGCTATCTGTTTCACTTGCCTGCATATGTAAAAAGACCAAACTATATCATAAGAAACACGAACTAATACATTTTCAGATGTGGTCTGAAAGAGATAGAGAGAAGAGATCACTGACCATTTTGAACAAGAGGTTAATGGACTTTCTCTGTTTTTAAGTTTTGTTGGAGGCAAAGGAGTTATAATGATGAGAGATATGAAGTTGCTGAACGGCTCTGTTTATATTGGGCAGTTTAGAAGAAGAGGACGGTGCACGAGTGCGACATCGTTTTGGTTTGATGGTGACGAAATAACGGATGCCTTTCCTGTCTACGCACTCCAACACGTTTGTTTGCTTTTTGAAAGAAAAAAAATAATCTCTGAATGATTGATACCCTGACAAGTGGCAACTTTTCACGTATGGCGACGTTCCAAAACGCCCCCCTCAACTTTCAAAATAATACGATTAACACCTTAATTTCTGTAAAAAATCATAAATGTTTCCATTAGTCTTTAAATTATACAGAAACTCACATGCCTCAAAATTTTGGGGTAGAAAGTAAAGGTGTGGAAGCTAGATGAAGAATTTTGCGTTTTTTCGAGGTCCGGAAACAAAATATGTTGTCAAACTTTGACATATCTTTTAAAAGATTTTTGTCACCAAATTCAGAGTGTATCTACATTATAATATGGTAAGGCTAACTTTAAAAAAACATTTCAATCTTTTGACAGATATAACAACTTTGCACCATCGGTCATACACTGCCCCACTGTATTTTATCTTACAAATAATGTTAAACGTGTAAGATCATGAAAAGTCAGCCATCAAATGTGAGATCTACATTAACACACGTGAGATTACGGAAACTAAAGCGTGCAGAACTTATAAAAAGTCAAAGCTACATTTTCTACTATTTGCATATCTAAGTATGGACTATCTAATTAAACTTAGATATAAAAGCTCTGGTCCTTTGAATACTTTTAACCTTTTTAATTAATTTCAAAATAATAAAAAAATAGATTTTGATTCACGCTTTCAAAACATGAGATATTTATTTTTTATAATCTAATATAAAAATACTAAAGATAATATGCATTTTTTATTATAAAAATATTTTCATTACTATTATGCAATTCTGATATAGATTGTCAATTTCAAAATCAAAATGAGTTTCTCCTACTACATAGCTAACTGAGTATATTTTTGAAACAGATTATTGTGGTGAACAGTGATCCGCGTTTTAACAGTGAATTTATTTTTTATATACATCCCAATTTAAAAATAAAAAGATTTTGACCTTCTGAATTAATTTATGGTTGACAATTTATAATAAAACTGTATTTATTTTCTAATTTTAATTTTAGAAAATCATATTCATATTATGGAATCATTAATAAAATTTTAATGCGTGGTATATTTATTTTCTTCCAATTTAAAGATATGATAAATCATTTATTTGAAGTCTTATTTTCTGTTTTATTGGAATTATAAAATATTTTCGATTTTTATTTAATAATTAAGAATTAAAGTGACACTTATTTTGGAATGTGCAAAATAGAATTTAATAGTATTATGTATAATATAATATATAATTTCAAAGCTATTCCCATATTAAAAAAAATAATTTGTTTTGCGTTATTCTTTTGTTTGAATTTAATTAATTGAATAGCACAGTTACATATTACAGTTAATTTTTTTAATAATCATATATAAAAGGCAACTATCTATATTAATTATGATAATAATATATATTTAAACAAAAAAATGTAAAAAGAAAATTGAAGTAGAAAAAACATCTTTCGACTATCACATGTACAAATTGAAAAAAGATTATTTAATTCAAATCATATGTAAAACTATATTACGTAATTTAAAACTTATAAAATAGTAAATATTTGGTTATTTAATAAATATTGTTCGTTCAAATCTTCTAAATTTTTTTTCAAGATATTGTACATAATTAAAATTTTTAATATTTAATATAGTTCAGTGGCATTCACTTGTAATTATTGAAAAAAAAATTAATTTTTTTTGTTTTTTGTTTTTGTGTTTTTTGTGTTTTTTTTTGCTAATAACGATGACTGAAGTTTAGAACAATATTTCTAATTCAGTGTTTCTAAGTGACGCCAATATTTTTATTTATGTTTGATTGATCAGCATATCAACATGTATAGCACTGGAAATAAACAAATACTAGCTTTTGACCCGCGCGTCCGCGCGGATTTAGGTTCTGTATAAATATATATATTTATATTAGAAGTAAAAAAGCATTCATATATATGTAGGTTATTGAGTTATGATGTTGGTGTATCTTGTTCATTTTGTTTAGCGTCTTTTTTCTAACTATCAAGTTGTAATAATTTTTTTAAATATATTTTTTTTACCTGGTAAACTAAACAATTAAGTATAAAATATTAGAATATCTTATTAAGATTTTTTGTCTTTATTAAATTATATTATAAATTTTGTGATTGCAATTATATTTTAAAATTATATTTTATATTTATTTTTTAAATAAATTATTTAGAAAGCAAAAAAAAAGACAAAAATAAGAGCTTTAGCAATTTTATTAAGAAATGCAATTTTACACTTAAAATTGAGTTGTTTGGTTTTGGGCAATTTTTTTTTCATTTAAAGTTATTGGACATAAACCTATATTGAAGCCCATGTAAAAGCAAAACTACAGTGTGTTAATTGTAGTGGCATTCTGTTGTAATTTTTGAGAAAAACTAAAGGTTATTTTTATTTTGTACTTCTCCTTTAATAGTTTAGATATGCAGCCAGCCTTTGAAGAACGAATCGTTTGGGTTAAGCGATAACTGTGGAATAAAATAAAATATCTCATAACAGTGGCCATTCTTCCATTTAGAGATCCCAAAACCGTTAAACATGCCTACTTTTAAGTAGAACATGTGTTAACTAGATAATAATCATTTTATAAAAGCAATGTTTCAGTTCAAGAAAATTCTCAACCATATATGCTTTTGATTGATATACTGCATGTTGAGTTGCAGAACAGTATTTATTTATATCTGATTATAAGGTAGCTTAATTAGATTGGTAGCGGAAATTGACCTCAGAATAAATATATCTTTATGAGGTTTAACGGATTTGTCACGGGAATGACCTCATTCAGTTTGAAGTGTATATTAAAAGTAATTTTGATATATTAGTCAAGTTTACTTTTCTTCAGATTTTTTTGTCATATCTGTAGTCGTTGTTCTAAATTGGTCGTAGATAGCTCATAGCTAGAGAATGAGAAAGGTCGAAAAAAGAATCTTATAGCGATCGATCATAATGAAATTTGTGTGGTTAGAAAGCTGGCTTACCTCTTACGTTAAAGGTGAACTTATTATAAACTGCGTGTACTTTTCCTTCAAATCTTAACAGTGTAGACCAAGAACACATGTAACAAAAACAAACGAAGGAAAGAGCCAAAGGAGACGAGTGAGACCCCCGGAAACAAGGGCAGGCGCTTTGGAGCGTTTTTGTTTTCATTGTAGACGATGGCAGATATTTGAAGAATTCTAGATTTTAGTTTTTTCTTTCTGTATAGAATGTTTCAGCGTTGGTGCTTGAGAGGTTTCTTGATGTTGTGATCAGCTTAGACCTTAATAGCATACTTTCTTATTGGAAAGTACATTTCTTTCTTCTTCTCCCTTTCTGTCTTCAGCGATGCCTGTCCAAAAGCAAAAGCCAATTCATTCAGTATCAACACAACCATAAGTTCATAAAAATGGTAATTTTACCTGATGCTTGGTGAGTCTCCTCCTGATGGCTCTAGTCTTCTTGGGACGAAGATCAAGTGGCAAAAACCTCTTGTTCTTGTAAGCCTCTCTCAGATCAAGTGGCAAAAGCTTCTTGTTCTTGTACGCCTCTCTCAGAGCAGACTTTTGCTTCTGTGAGATCACTGTCAACACCTGAGCGATTGATTTCCTCACCACCTTGCTTTTTTTTTTTTTTTTTTTTTTTTTTTTTTTTCCCATTTGAGATGTGTGCTTCCTTAATCACCTACCACTAGCTAAATCATAAACAGAGGTATAGAGTATAGGTTGCGTGTTCGCCACGTTAATCACTCATAATGTGTAAAAAAGAATGCAATATTTTTGAAAGATGTGGAAAGACATATACATCTTAGAGAGCTTGTTGGGAGCACCTCCAGTGACTTTGGCGACACGGAGAAGAGCTAGTTCCGCCTTGAAATCTTTCAACTGAGTCGAAAGATCAGATTTTGATTTCTCCCTTAGCTCATGAACACAAAGGTAAAACCCTAAACGCAAACGAAACATTAACAGTCGAGGAATGTAAGAAGCATTTGACTGGTTTACCCATTGCGTCTTCGAGTTCGAGCTCTCTGGCTTCCCCTTACTCTCGATGGGTGGTATTGTAGGAGATGATAACGGCTAAGACTTTTTAGATCAGAACTTTAGGTTATATTTACTTGGGCTTTTAAGATGGGTTTGTTAATAGACCTGTTATGTATTTATTAGATGGACCGAGCCTCTAATAGTTAACAATGTGATCTACGTTCATATTGTTAAAATTTTGGATTGTACCACTAGATTTTTATCACATTTATAAGATAATATCACTATTTATTTTTAAAATCTTAATTAATTAAACAATTTAATATCTCCTATATTTATGGTAACTGATAATATTTCCTATTTTTGTGATTAATAATAATTTTCCTTTTATGAAAATTATAATTTTCTATTTAATTTTAATATCATATTTCCGTACATCATATTATTTAGCAATCAAAAATTAGAAATTATTATTTACTATTTCATTTTATCCATAATAATGATATTTCAATTCAATTTGTTTTAAAAACTAAATTTTAGATATAAAATGGGTAAAAATGTAAACTTATCATAGGTTATTAATAACGAAAAGAAACTAATATTGTTATATGAATAAATTGTGTTTTTTTTTCTATTGCCATTGTTTCATTTTTTTCAAATGACAAGAAAGTTTTTATTAAAGAAATTACAAAAAATCAATTTTCTTTAATATTAAAAATATGAATTATTTAACAAATTTTTAAAAATATATTATCAGTTTGTATGGGGTTATTTAACGGATCAACGAATATCATAATACAGATTAATAGCGGTTTTAAGATAGATACCGGGTCGGCTTAAATTTTTAATTAGTAAAATTTTAATTAAATTTTAACTGGATTGTATAAAAATTGTCGGATGTACCGGTTCAACTATGGATCTGGGTCGGATATGGAAACATTACGTGAAAATCAAACATTATAATAGAACTTTTTAATATATTAATAAAACAATTTTAAAATTTTTGTGTTTGAATAATTAATTTAAATAAATTTTATCAAAATGGTAAAAATATACTCGCGCTATTAAAGCGCGGGTGAAAATCTAGTTCACAATTAAAAAGAATACTTTGTATTCAACAAGTTTTGATATCGCTTTTCAAATTTACGCAGATAAACATTTTTATAAATACATAAAATTGGTGATAAAAATGTACATTAACTCACCTAAATCATTTATAAATATTTGGTGAATGACAAAAGTATTACTATCATGAAATTTAAAGGAATTATTTTCTATCAAATTTATTTTTATTCCTTTCAATTACTAAATAAAAGAATTAGACAAATGCATTAAAATTTTCCTCAAATGATTTTAAATATTCTAAGATCTGTTATTTATGTCTAAGTCCATGTTAATCAACCAAAATATGTTTCACTCTTTATTATGTTTGTGGCCAAATCAGCTAGTTGTTAGTTACATTGAACTCTGTAATGTTTCGGATAATGAAAGTTTACCATGTTTTCTTTCAATTTCTTATTTATTTCAACATTGCACCTTGTAGAATCTAATGTTTAACTTTGTTCGATACAGTCTCTTTCAATCATTTATGGCATATCTCTCAAACCGAAATTGCTTCTGGATATTCATCTTTGTCATCACGTTGACATATTGTATACTCACATAAGAAAGAAGGCACTGATCTCATATGCACCAGCGCTCACATTGCCATTTGTGTATGTTAATTTGGAAACTATGTTAGAAGCATTTAAAACCAATGTTCTTAGTTTAGAGAAGGAACTCCAAGAGTTGATCATTGACAACCTAACACAAGTTTCATTCTTTTCTGGAAAAAAATTGGTTACCATCAGTTCAAAAACTTTAAAAGGATATCTGATTTTGTCATCTTGAACATGTGATTGACTCACACAAGAAAATCTTTTAAGTCAAAGGATACAGCTTTCCAAATCTCCTCACAACAACAAATAATTACGACAATGAAAATTAAGTTGTTTAGAAACAAACATAGTACATCATTTGTGGTTAGCAATCATGTCACATTCAAATTGAGCAGAATTTTTGAAGATTTGGTAATTTTCCAGTCGATTGTACTTTAAGAATAAAGGTTAAAAAATCATAGAAAAAATCTTGGGAAATTGATCGAGTATTGCGAAAAAAACGCTGAAGCTGAATCCTCATATTCTATGAAAGAAAATGTCAGGAGTTAGAACGTTGAGTTCATAAAGTTGATTAGATGACATCCTCCGATCTCATTAATGTTGTGGATTACCTTTGGCATCCCAAGCTTGCTTGATTTTGTTTCCCAAAAAGTCACTAGCATTATTGGTGAAACTACATATAATATTCGTGAAACCTTTAACATCAAGAATGATTTAACACTCGAGAAAGAAGAAAGGATTCACAAGGAGTACATATGGGCTTTTGAATGAACAGACTAACCGACCTTTTTGTCTTTCATTTCTTTGCTTATAAATGTTATACGGTTTTGAATTAGAAATAAAGAAATTGCTTAAGATACTAAAAGTTGGCTAAGCTTTTTTTCAAAAATACACTAAAATATATCTTAAACATTATTCCAAAACATTTATAAATGATCTAGGGAAGTTAGTTTAGTACAAACGTAAGGTACTTAGAAAAATGAATATCATTCAAAGATAAATTCAGAAAATAGTATTAAACTTGTGGTAAAATTAAAAACAAATTCCTAGTTTATTTTAGATAATAATTATATATTTCCGTTAAAAATAATTTTTAATAATTTTTAACACAGGTCACAATCTTAAAATATTTTATTGCGAGGTGTCTTGATCATGTTAACTAGCACTTAACCAAATTTTGTATAATAAAATTAACGTTTTAACTTCATACAAACGTTAACACGTTTATGAGTGGATGGTTTTCAAAGTGAAGTAACTGGTGAAAAATCTGGGAAAGTATCTTGGGTTCATTTTCTTTGCATATGGACATTCTATGGTAACACGTAAAATTGCTTCGGGCTAGATCCGTTTCCTATTTTGAAAATGTTTTGGAATCGAATTTTTTTGAAAATTTGAGGAAACTCTATGAAAACACGTTTCTTGAAAATAACATTTTGGAAACATAATGAAAATTAAGGTTTCTATTTCAGAAACTCTTGATTCTTATTGGAAACATGCAAAAAAAAAAACATTTATCATTTGACGTTAGTGATTACATATTTAGTGTTTATTTTCATTTTTGTATACTTTCATAACTACTTGTTAATTTGTATTTTAATATTATCTTTTGATATTTCTGTCATTTTCGTATAAGAATTTGATTTGGAATGAAACCGACTCCATAATTTTATCGAATGATAACATGTTTTAGTTTTCTAATTATTGATTATAATTTTTTTATAAAATACACAAAGAAATGACACTTTACTTAGTTTTCTCTCTTAGTTAAATCAAAAACTAATTATTAGGCTTATATATATATGATATAGATGTTTTCAAAACGTTTATATTTCTGCTTTTAAAAAAATTATGTTTTCATGTTTTAAAACGTTTCGTTTTCATGTATCTTTCTCTCTCTGATTCCATGCAGTACTGGTCAAAAATTTTTTTGTCACAAATATATATTTTAAAAATAAAAATAACCAAAATAGATTTAAATATTTTATCAATAATAAGTAAATTTATATTTATATCTTTGGGAAAATTGCCAAATATGACTCAAAACTTGATTTGAAATGCAAAAGTAAACCCAAACTTGAATCAAATGCAAAAGTAACTTAAAAGGCTATTGAAATTACAACCAACTCCTTGTGAACAAACAAAAAACGCGAATTTTTTTTACGTTTCTAGCCCTCGCAAGTCGTCTGCCCAGACGACTTTAAAATAAGTCGTCCA